TCATCCCCAGTCCTGACACCATTTCTATAGTCATCCCCAGTCCTGATACCCCTTCTATAGTCATTCCCAGACCTCATTCTACATTTATTCCCAGTTCTGGCATCCCTTCTACAGAGCCCAAAGACTAATTTGTACCTGTACCAAGACTGATACTGACACTTGTAGGACAGCTAGTCACACCCTGCTGCAACAGGGGAATTCAACCTTTACAGCGACGCAAATGTATCTGTGCACTGTACTGTTTAATATACACAGCCTTTCCTAAGAACATCTTCTGTGAGAAAAAACCTCTCCTGTGCATGTATTTAGTTATGAAGTAAATATTGCATATTTTCCCCCCACAACACCACTTGTGTACTGTAATCTGTAAGTGTATACATATTATGCATATGTTAGATTTTATTAATGCATTCCTTCATACAGGACTTGTTACCATTCATTCCCATGCAAAAAACATTTATGTAAATGTAAAAATTAAAGACTCTGAGATATTTTGACAAACATGTTCAGCATAAAGGTAAACAACATACATATATTTTAGCCTACTAAAGCAAATCTTCAGCAAAACAACTTTCTTATTTCAGAAACTAGACTGAAGAGAGGTTAAAAGGAGCACACTTGAAATAAATCAGTATGCAAGACCATAAAAGAAATTAGAGGAATTATATTAAGGATTTACTGTCATAAAATCACACATAGAAAGCACCAGCATATTTAATTTGTTTAAGTTGTATAACACGTGTAATCAGAAACCCTGAAATAATGGCTTGTTATAATACATCTGATAAATGCCATCCTCTTATCTACATGATAGGTCCTAATTAGACAAGTAGATTAGAATAGATTTTATCAGTGATGCATTGCTACATTCCTTTAATGATTTACCACTTATTCCTACTTTGGCCCCAAACGTCAATAGGCCATAAAATAATGTAATACCGCTCTGTCCCTAATAAACCCCTTATTCCCAGGAAATGTATATAGAGGAAAGCATTATGACATTTGCTTTGTACAGCATTGTTCTACATTGCATAGTGAAGCTTTGGACATAATTTGGGCTTAATCCAATTTGCTATTAATTAAGAGTATACTTTTGATTAGTTGTCAGTCAGACATGAATGCCCGCATCCCAAAAAATATAAATATCATTGGCAAATATTCATAAGTTATCAAATGTAACCTTGACCTTTTGACCTTGACTGATGTCCACCTGAATATATGGAACAGAGAGAACTTGGTGTTATGATTCTATGGGGTAAATATGGACTACATCTAATGAGAGGTTCTTAAGATATAACATGGATTTGAAAAGGCCTAAGACAGGGAAACAGATAAGGGTAAAACAATATGTACCTCCTAACATAGAAAATGAGGGAGCATGGAAAATGAATCCCATCCTTTAAGCAGCATAAAACAAAATTTGTGAAAAAAACTTTCAGCTAAAAATTATCAACAACAATGTTTATACATGTTCGACTGTCATATCATCCTTTGATTCCTGTGATTTCCCATCTCTAACCAAGACAGGGCTCTGATATGATATTTTTAACTATTTAATAAATATTTTAAAATTACATTCAAAAAAATAAACAAAACATCCCAAGTCTTTATTTGCAGACCATGAAAATACAAAATTGATGTTTCATTCCACTGTTTAATTTTTCTGATACTGGTAAGTGACTTAATAAAATCAATATAAGTAGAAGTTAATAAGCATATATTTGTAATTTAATTCTTTGTTACTTTTGTAATTTTGTTCTACTTTTTATTGATCATTCAAGACACCTTTTAAAACAGGCTATTCCATTATAGTACATTTCTATCTAATAATATTTTCAATTAAAGGGACTCCTGGCCATCAGAGAGAGCAGCCAGTTTCTGAAGCCTAACTTTCATAACTAAGGAATCTTGGATTGGAGATAAGAAGCTCAGGAATGGAGAAACAAAGCACCAATAAAACCTACCTTTATAAGCTCATAGAGTCAATTAGCTTGTTGTACTGATGATGTATAAATCAAGCTGCCAAAGTCACCAACTAGAGTCCGACAGTATCATGGTTGTCTTGGAACGTCATTAAACATGGATGACAGTGTTGGAGGTAGGATAACGTGCTTGCATGCATCTTGTACAACGATTGACACCCTGTTCCCACCAGCTAGCCGATCATAGCACATCATTAGCTGTAGCAGTCACACAGTCAATAGCCACAACAAACACTTTTTTGTTTACACGCTTATCTAATTCATGATTCATGTTCCCATTTCACACTCCTCCAGTGAATGATAAATTATTGGCCAAAAATTTTAATCAATAATCAGCTTTGCTACTGGTATTGTCTGACAACAAACCAAGACCTGTCCCATTATCTTCCGTCCTATCTCCTTATCTGTTCCCAACTGTATTTTAGCAGCCCTTATAAATGCCACCTCTCAGTTTAACTTTCATTATTCATTGATGTGACAGAGGATGACTGCCCTTCAGGATCATCTCTGGGATCAATACAATAATAACCTAATCTAGCCTGTATGTCCAGCACTTACACTGACAGATGGCCCTTCTCATGTTGTCTGATGTCTTCCCCCCTTTTCCCCACCCCTTGTACTGGTAATTCTATTTTTTCATTGTACTTTTGCAGGTCATTCCAACGACTTCTACTGTAGTCCCATTTTGTCCCTCACCATGTCCAACAGCTTTCCCTGTTTTCCATGTGATCCCTGTCCTATGTCTTCTCCTGTTTGTTCCACGTGGTTTTCCCAGTCATCTCTTTTTGTCCCTGTCATCCCCTGTTGTCCCAATCATTCCCTGTGTCCCTGTCAACCCTTGTCCCTGTCATCCCCTGTTGTCCCAATCATTCCATGTGTCCCTGTCAACCCTTGTCCCTGTCATCTCCTGTTGTCCCAATCATTCCCTATGTCCCTGTCAACCCTTGTTCCTGTCATTCCCTGTGTCCCTGTCAACCCTTGTCCCTGTCATCCCCTGTTGTCCCAATCATTCCATGTGTCCCTGTCAACCCTTGTCCCTGTCATCTCCTGTTGTCCCAATCATTCCCTATGTCCCTGTCAACCCTTGTTCCTGTCATTCCCTGTGTCCCTGTCAACCTTTGTCCCTGTCATCCCCTGCTGTCCCAATCATTCCCTGTGTCCCTGTCAACTCTTGTCCTTGTCATTCCCTGTGTCCCTGTCAACCCTTGTCCCTGTCATCCCCTCTTGTCCCAATCATTCCCTGTGTCCCTGTCAACCCTTGTCCCTGTCAACCCTTGTCCCTGTCATCCCCTGGTGTCCCTGTCATCACTCCTTGTCCTTATCATCCCCTGCTGTCAATGTCATCTCCTGTCGTCCCAGTCTTCCCTGGTTTCCCATGTCATCACCTGCTGTCCTTGCCTTTTTCTGTTGTCATTTCCTTCCTCATTTTCTTGTCTTCTATTGTTTTCCATGTCATCTTCTGTTGTCCCTTTCATCCCCTTTGTGTCTCTGTCATCCCGTTATGCCCCTGTTATCCCCCTAGAGTCCCTTTCATCCCTTTGTGTCCCTGTCATCCCTTCTTGTCCCTGCCTTTCTGTTGTCCCTGTTATTCTTTGTTTTCCCTGTCATCCCCTGGTGTCCAAGTCATCCCCTGTTGTCCCTGTTGTCTCCGGTTTTCTCAATCATCCTTTGTTTTCCACGTCATCCCCGGGAGTCCATTTCATCCCCTGGTGTCCCTGTCATGCCTTCTTGTCCCTGCCTTTCTGTTGTCCCTTTTATTCTTTGTTTTCCCCCCTTTGTTCCCCTCCCCCCCCCTGGTGTCCATGTCACCCCTGGTAGTCCTTTCATCCCCTTATGTCACTGTCATCCCCTTATGCCCCTGTTATCCCCCTGGAGTCCCTGTCATCCCTTCTTGTCCCTGCTGTCCTTGCCTCCTGACTATATTATACTTTCTCTAAAATCTGTTTCTGAACCATGCAAACCCAACCATTGATCACCAATGTACAAATGAATCTTTTATGCACTTATCAAAATTTGAACATTATTAACATCATGTTTATGTCATTCATGGTACATCAGTAAGATCTTTTCATTCCCATTAAATGGTTTTAATATTCAGATTTTATATCAGAAATAACTGTGATACAAATCTCATTAAAGCTGAAAGTATTTTTCGGATGGTTTATTCCACCCTCTGGTATAAGTTAATGGATATGTATTTGATGAAATATCATTTAAATAAAAATAAATAACTATCTAAATAGAGAGATTACCAATGTTATCAGACTTGTACATCTAGGCTTCAGAAATACTTGTTGTCGGCAAAAGTTATGATAACATGGAGGTACAATTTAACATGTATAACTATAGATAAAATGCTTTGCGGCATTTCCCAATAAAAATCTTATTGATTACATACAAACATGCAACATGCTCAAATGAATTACCACATATATCTTTTGCCTACAGAAAACTCATATCCCTGTTGTAAATGAGAATGTTTATGGCAATAAACTCTCAAAATCTCAGATTGCAACAGCAATCAGAGAGAAAATGGCTTCAATATAGTACTTGTAACAGTATTTATATATTACTTCTACATACATATATTTACATAGAGCTAAGAGTACTTCATTATCAATATCACATATCAAATGGAACTGAAAAGCTCATGTACTCTACAAAGCATGACAAGACGCCAACTGCTTGTTATAGAGCTGTGTTTCTACAAAACACGACATCTAGATGAGATAACAAAATTGACATGGAGGAGACTCCAGTTCTTTTTAAAGAGCATGTATACGTATGATATAATGAGTTGATATTTTGCAGAATTTCTCTGTCGAAAACTATCAAGTAAATAGACTTACCAGGGTACACAACATTGTTTACACACAGAAGTCACTGCTTTTTGTGACCATGTTCAATTTACAAACATTGCATTTTGGTGTTTCATATATCTAAATTTCCATTGTTGATTAAATGGATTAAAGGTGTCATGTTTTCACTTTCATTTTGTTTTAAATCAAAAGGACTTACCAGTACCTGTGATCTGTGACTTTTTACACCTACAACACAAACAGGAAAACATTAGTGTCAACATTTTAGTGACTTTAAGTTCACAAATAACAAGGACTTAAACATAACAAAAGCAAGTGTTTAATTACTTGTATTTCTTTTTAAGAATACAAAATGTACTTTTAAGATCATGAATCTATTGTTCAACAATGACAAAACATCTTTAGGAAATAATAACATGAGCCCACGCTTGTAAGGTAATGATCATACTGTGACAACGTTTTCTACAATTATCATTTTTGTAACTGTAAGGTCCAATTGATTGAACAATGAGCAAATACTGTTTTCCTGTCACAACTGACCCGAGTTGAACTGGGCCACAACCTTGTGACACCACTATGACCTTAAACAAAGTCACTTCCTAACACTCCTGGATCACTTTTCTTGTACTGCCAACTCAGGTATTTACTGTATAAATTATTAGGAAGCACCTGACTTTACAAATATAGCGGGCTGGAGATCGTTCACTAGTTATAAATACTCACATGAACTATTACACCGGTAATTAGAATTGTGGTGAGATCTATATCTGTGTTAATGGCACAGGTAACTTTAGAGTTGTTCATGGCATATTGTATTAAGTGTAAACAGGGATAGTGATGTGTTCATCCAATTTTAAACTAGTTGTAATGATTTATATACAACTGTCATGAAACCTACACTATAGAAAAATACCTCCAAACCAATGGGCTCAAGTCCAATTGAGTTCTTGTCAATGAAAACAAACACATCCTACCATTTTTCTCACTACAAATCAAAACCTCATTTGTTATTGTCTCCTTGGGTGTTGTTTGTAGATAGAAACTGCAATTGCTCTGTTCATGCAAACAGATTGTGTTTCGTAAAATCATTCATGCATTCAACACCGCAATCCTGGATTACATCATATTTTATTTTTTGTTTCATACTAGTCTACTAAAAGTAAATATCATTAATATATTGAAAGCGTATTACTGAAGTACATATTTCATATATAGACAGTGACGTGCAATCATCTGTACAAGGTAGGTTTCAACTAATTTCTAAAAAATTAATGGTGTAAAGGAACTTTACCAATTATAAAATATAAGAAAAGTTACGAACATGTTTTGTAAGTTTTAGAAGATTGTGCTGACACTGCTAGTCTGATGAAAGAGGGACAATACAAACATAGCATTATCCCACGTCCCATAACCCTTTCAGACAAAAACTTCACTTTGATGACTCAAATATTATTACCCAGTATGTGAACTTAAGTGAAGACCCGTTTCATGACATGCATTCAAAATAACATCTTACCCCAAAAAATTCATTTTTACTATTGCGACAAATGCAGAATGAATGGACAAATTATAACCAGAAAGTGAAAATAAGAAGTAGGTACACATATTATTTATATAAATCAAAGCTAGTTTATGTGAATAATTTTTTGGGATTGTCCCCCTCTTCAATAAATACAGTCCTATATTTTAATATTCCCATGTGAACATTACTTATAAATCAGCGCTGCTGTTCATTTTATAAATTAAGTGTAAAACAGATTGGGTTTCAATCTTAAAGCTGTAACATGAGGTTGTGATATTAGGTGTAAAATTAATGTACTTTCTGCTAAATATTTAAAGACATTTCAAAATCCTCTAAACTAAGACGATGACAAAGTGTCATTTTCATGTATTAAAAGATGCAAAAAATATGAAAATATAGCAAATAAACAGGCAAATCATATCAACACTTCAGGCAGTACAATTACATGCCATGATGATAAAGCTTGGCAAGTTTCTACAACGGTGGTGGAAAAATGATAAAGCAGACATCTACAGACAAGATCAAAATACCAGGGCACTTAAAATGGGGCATTAACTCACAAAAACTGTGGTTCAAGGAAGCACAGCAACAGGACATGATAACCATGACAACCATGTTTCAAAGTGACAGGTAAAAAGCTCTCAGGAAAAAAGGTTATGGTGGACAATGTCATCATTCTCAAAAAGTTGATGAATGTGAATGTGACATAAAAACACATAATACAATGTTTATACATGTATTATGCTTTTTTATAAGAGTACAAAGTAAACTACCATTTTTATCCAACAACAAGCCCATGGACCAAATGAATTACCTCTGAATGTCAGGAGATAGGACTCAAGTAACATACCCTTGTAAATGAAAACTGTGCTTCATTCAATGATGAAGAAAACTTTTGTGAATACATTTTATTAGACTAATCATTGCTTCTTACTGTGGAAATACATCATTAGAATTTAAGTCAGTTCATGTACCATACAGATAATGATACAGACAATATCAATTTCATCTATTTCTGTTTTTAATCATGTTCCTTCAGAAAACCATTTCAATTGTAATACATTGTCTTATTATCCTGTATTTGTAATTGGTTATTGTGAAGACTATCAAAGTAATCAAACTCTGGTAAGCCTGACAGTTACTATGGTGAATCACCAGATATCCACTTTAATGTATTGATCCCAACTGTATCAACAACCCCACCACAGGAAGACTGGAGACAGATATCTCCCATCACAATAAAATTTTGGAGGATGTAGGATATTATCAATGAGTGAGTGCTGTAATATATCGGTTAATTCATGTAAATTTATTTCTGTTTTTATATAGAATTCTCGCCAATGTGGTTTGAATAAAAACACATGTGCCTTCACTTGCCTGTGCATGTGTTGTATATACAATATGGCTCTTGCAATTTGAAAGATTTATAGCAATCACTATACGGCTTGTACCACTTACTTAAGGTGTTCATTTATATATGCATTTCTATTATACCTGTCAGTATGTTTAATGGTTCCGTCTCAAGTCACATGTCAATATAATGTTTAAATACGAAATACCATCATCAGAAATACAATAACCATGAGTGTGAAACTTTATTAAACAGTAAAACTGAACTTCTCTTATGGGATATGGAAGTTCAAACCAACGAAATTTCACATAATGATAAATCTTGTATCTCTAGTGCATATTGAGTGAGACTTTAATTAAAACCAAGATGTTTAGGATCAAAATTAGCATTTGTTTGAAGTAATGGTTTGAAGAGAAAGATAAATCAAGAGAAAGATGATGGACTGTTAAACAGATACCAGATGGTTACCACACAATAATTTCACATTTGGACCATGTCATACAGTTATAACTGTATCCTGACAGGATGAACCTTCAAGGTGACAAACTATTTGGTAATACTCCCAAGAGATCTGAGAAAGTTTTTTTATTCAACCTTGGAATATTAGGGATTTGGAAGAAAAGAAACTTATTTCTTTTATTCTGAATGGCATCTATTCCCTTTAATTACATCAGCTATTTACAGTAGAATAATGCATTATTGCTAACTATCAAATGCACAGACCTGAAATGCTCTAAGAAAATTGTAAAGTTATATGACCGGAGTGACTAAAATTGGAGAAAATTCTAATTCTGAATCCAACTCAAAAGGCAGTTATTATCAGCTTTAATTATTCACCTTCACCATATATAAAAATACTTTTGACAGCTTTGTATCACTGATTTTCTTACTTGCAGGCAAAACCATACCTACACACAGGTAATATTGAAATCTGTCAATGCCCATTTCATGATCATAATAAGGAAGTTTTTACAAATTTGCTTGATATCCAAAATATGTTTTTAGTAGGTTATTCAGGATCTTATGACATAACTGAATTATGATCATTTGATTAAACAGAATGCATGTTTCATGCAATAAAAAAGGCTTATCAGATTACAGATAGATATCTTGATTTGCCATGTAACGTTCACTATCGTTCAGTGTTACATGGGAGATAACTCTGACAAGCTTATAAGTTGAAACAGTGCAAATTATTTTCATCGTATAAAATTGCCTCTGACAAGTGGTTTGGTCGTACTTTTCCATTTAAATCAAACATATAACTGAAGTTTGAAATTAAAGAAATTAGTGAAACAAACTGTACAATAACGTATATGCGCAAACTATCAACTTCTATCAGTTTGCTCTATACTATAGTAACTAAAACTCGATATATATGTTAACTCGACTGACATATTAAAATATAATTTCTGTTATGTTTATTAATCAAGTTATCGTTATTAGTATATAAGCAGATGTTGGGGAGATAAAAAAAAACCCATGCTGGGAAATTATACTTCTATAATATAAAAAAAAACCCATGCTGGGAAATTATACTTCAAACAGAAACTGCGAAAGAGAAAGTAGGGTTTCAAGAGAGAGAAAAGGAAGGCCACTTTGAGTAACTTATTTACAATGACAACTCGCACCGACAAAATGAATCATTTCAACCTTGAATAAAAGTTATTTCCTCTTCTTATGTGTGTAGCATTTCAGTTCATATCTCCTTAAAACACTTCTTTTGTTATCAAAGTTTCAAAGCTTAGAAATCCCGGGTCGTTTCCGGTTCTATTTCTATTCTAATAGCCAAGAAGGTTACGGATCTGTGGATTCCGGACTTCTTATAAACCTTTTGTGTCATAGTGTCCTTGTTATATATATTCGTATGTTTATGTTATGTATATGGATATATTTTTTTCTAAGTCTATCATCTATTCAATTCGCCTTTCGTCCGTGGTCCGTGGCCCGTTGTCTGCCCGCCATCTGACATCGGCCTCTCAACGAATATTGTTTTTCGCTTCTTAATATTCATACGAAGCACTGGCTGAATGGAGGGGTATTGTATCGTTCATATGCAATACGGTTCCTTTCGTTATCAATATTATTATTATTTTCATTAGTACTATTCTATCAATTTAGAGCAACGTTACCTTTCCCAGTTATAATCAGTCTCAAAACTAAACGTGGATAAGAAATCATCAACAACAACCCATTCTTGTCAAGCATATCCTACACCATGCACTGTAGGTACCAAGGAAAATCGACACGTACACCTCCTAATTTGCGGAAATTTTCTCTACCAAGAAATAGCGGCAGAAAGTTTTTCAGTTAAATTTAAAGAAGTGTGTGAGTGTGTGTGTGCGAGTGTGTGTGTGTGTTGTGTGTGTGTGTGTGTGTGTGTGTGAGTGAGTGTGTCTGCGAGTGTGTGTGTGAGAGTGGGTTTACATATATATGTATATCTTGTCGTTGGTGCAGTCCTTAAATTGAATTTATACAACTACGAAATATCAATAAGAGATAGTGAAAGATATTAAACTCGGATGATGGACTTCCGGGTGTGCATCTACCATTGTGCAAATACATTTTTGTATTCATGTCATTTTCCCCAAAACAAATTATTTGCAACACCATACTAATATCTTATCAGCGTTTTAGTGGCTTCGCCCTGGACCCTGCATCAGCGATTGACTATATGTTTGTGCAGAGACGTATATATCGCATATATACGTCTCTGGTTTGTGACTCTCCGTCATACATAGGTCTTCATTTCCTTGCATATAGGAATACAAAACAAACAAAATCCGGTAAAAGGGTGGAATCAGAGTCAGAAACTTGAAATAAGAAAAGGAAAAACGGAAAAAAGGAAGGAGGGTGTTCGGGGAGCGTGATAACATTTTATTAGTAGAATCAGTGTGCGCCCCCTTTAACCCTTAATCCTGGATCCACGCCTTGGTCTAGGTTCCTCTTGGTCCTTAGATGTGCCTTTTGATTTTGAAACTGAACTTAATGTCTAAGGGGCGGCCATCTTGGATTTTGACGATGAGAGTTTGTTATCACTATTTCTGGAGAGGTACTGGATTGTCCTTCTCAAATTTCATACGTAAGTTTCCCTTGGTCCCTAGAATTTGTGCTCTATTGATTTTGGCACCGAGAAAAAAATACAAAACAAATGAACGACAGGCGATCATGATGAATTTGGCAATCACAGATTACTGTCATTATACAGGAATTTTAGAATTTCATTTATTTACAAATGACAACCAAATAAAGACCAAACAATTGTGGGCACCACGTTCCCATTGTGATCCCTTGTTTTACATAATATATAGTCAGCCATAATACTGACAGATTAAAAAGGCTCTCGGTCTGAAAGGCAATATCCTCTACGTCTATAATATAAGGAGGATATTAATTGGTTTGCCGTTAAATATCGTATATACGTGTATTTCATTCGTATGACATAATACCTATTTTTCCATGAATGCGTAAGTTTTTTTTTCATTTTTAAAGGGAACGAACATCAAAATATTTAATAAAGCGGTGTTTGATAAGTTTCGGGAAATAACCGCGCGAATTTATTTTGCCAGCTAGTTTGATGTTACACTTGACAGCAAGACAATGTTTTTAAAACGCTGATCTACGACGTTTCTTCTACCATTTTATGTTGTTTTCTGATAAGAATCTCTTACAAAACTGTTTATATATAAAACCAGGAATAATAAAAATTGTACACTGGAATTATTTGATGAAAGAAAAACCAAACCTATTCAACCTTCGTTTCATTAATTACGAGAGACGTGGAAAGCACCGCTCTGGTTTGCCAAACAATCACTGGCCAAGTTATTGTAGATGATACGTATAAGATTTCATACAACATCACTAGATGATATGATTTTTTTTTTTTTTCAAATTGATAAATTCCTCTACTTCACTGGCAAACTCGTCTTCGATTGATTGTACTGCCGCTCATCTTACTGACGAAACGTAACGAAACTACAGTAGCTTATATATAATTACCAACGATGTTTCAGCTCTCATAAAATCTTTCAATTAAACCCTGCAATATTAATTGAATAATTGTATAATTATATAGAGAGTGTGTAATTCAAATGAACAAAACAATTACTCATGACATAACGCCCCGGAGACACCGTGTTATGAGTTACTGCACGCCCACATCATCATTTGCATGTACTTGCATATAGAGGTCGAAAACATTGTCGACATAACTGTACCACTCAGGTTAGATAGGTCTCTGGTCAGGGGTGCGAAAAGACGGAATGAAAGAAAGTGCTTTGCTAGTATATATCTAAGCAGTAACGATGTGTACTATCACGGACTTATGTGTATATAAGTCCGTGGTACTATGAAATAATTACTATAACTACAGTATGTATTTCTTCCACTAATTCCCATTCACTCTACTAAATACATACATCCAATCCGTCGGGTGAGACTTAAAATTGTGACGTGCGCACTAGATAATGTATGACAAGCACAATAAAAATGTCGAAGTGGTCAGAATTTGGTATTATATAATCTCACTAAAGATCATATGGCACTGTTTATGTTGAGTGGTGTAGACAGGCAATTTCTCATTCACTCATCCTAAGTTCATATTTACTTCAAAAAGTGTTATACGCCCCTCATATTAAAAAAGGAGAATAAATGTTTTATATATCCTTAACATATAATATTTCAAAATTTAATTTCCATCAACATATCCATGTTTGTCTGTCTGTTTCATTTGCTTGCTTGCGATTTTCAATCTGAAAACGATTTATCCTACCACTGACTTAGATGCATATAAGAACGTGACAATATAAACACAAACATGGAATTCTCTTAGTATATACGATTTTACACATAATTTTTTGCGATTTTTTCGTTTTTTGTTTGTTTTTTCGTTTTCATTCTTTTTTACTCGCTGTGTATCTTTTGTACAATTCCCTTAAGAAACATTGGTTACTACCTAAATCGCTTGAAGCCTTTGATATTTCTCATTCTTATAACTCAAATTTGTGTTTTCGGTAACACACATCTATATAATTCTAAATTAGTTTGATTCATTAGTAAATAATCAGGGTTACGAAATATTACTTGTAAAACATATTTCTATTGGTTTGTAAAACGGGTATCCGGCACCGGAAATAGTTTTTTTGACCAATCTCCGTCGACGTATTATTAGCGATCGAAACGGGCACCTGCCTGGTAATTCGGTTGGCTGCGGATGAATAAATTGTAATAGAAATATTCATATGTTCAACATGTATGTGATATTGACGATGCAAATTAATTTGATAAATTTGTTAAGTATTAAATAGTTGCATATTATTTTCAATGGACTGAAGCAGATTTTTTACCCAAACTGAATGGAACTACTTTCTCTTGCGTAGTACCGTCTTGGGTGTTGTACGGTTTTCATCATGTCTGGTAATCACTCAAGATGATGAGAAGAAAACTGATCTGGGTTAACGATATTCCTGTTGAAATATGTATTAGGGAGTGATGTAGCCATACCAGTGATTGCGGTGGGTAGATACAGTTTCATTCTGAGGATTTATATTAAAAACTGACGTGATGGGGAATTGTTTACGGAGAGACAACACAAGCAATGTCCCTGGCACTCAGACGACTCCCCAGCACAAGGCTGCACAGGAACTGTCAAATGGAACCCCTACTGTCCCCATTCCTGTGGCATTGTCCACTCCGCCACCATCTACAAGCCCCATAGTGTCTATATCATCCACCCCACAACCGGAACCTTCGAGTGAAACCACCCCAACCCCAACTAAAGTGTTCGTTGCATTGTACGACTACGATGCCAGAACTGCGGAGGACCTCAGCTTCCGGAAAGGAGAACATTTAGAAATTATTAACGACACACAAGGTGACTGGTGGTATGCTCGATCAAAAACAACACAAAATGAGGGATATATACCTTCTAATTATGTAGCTAAGCTGAAGAGCTTGGAATCGGAACCGTAAGTAGACATTTTTTTAAAATCAATGTTGTGTATTGTACACACTGCAGCACACATTTAGTTGAACACAAGGTAAACAACACTGAATGCAAAACACAACTGCATTTAGATGTTTAGAGAAATGCTCATCATTAAAGCATAATTAACAAAGCTTGTTCATTGTAAAGGGTCATCACGCTAAAAACCTTAATTTTGTTATTGATTGTGTGTGTTTTATAAACTTCCAGTTAAGTTTCTATGCTATCATGATATTCACAGTCGATTTTCAATGTCCAGCTTGCACTCTTCTTTGGTTTGGGAAACCTCACAAATGTAGCGCTGAAAAGTCACGTCATAGTGTTGAAAATGAGGCTTTCATTTTGTAAACACAAACACATGATGGCGAGAAGAAATGACAGCATCAGCGACTGACACAGTCAGTAACATGTTGTTTTTCAGCACCAGATTTTGTTATGGTGTGGCAAATGTAATTTGATGACTCTTAGTCATTTTGAAATTACAAAAAAAGTACAATTTATTTTAAGTACAAGAACAGTACAGTTCTTGTAAACAGGCGATGGTGTTTTGTGCGCCCATGTTCTATCATAGATGATGCAAAAAGTACATATCCAGACTGTAGACCAACAGAAAATGATTGACTTTCTGTAAATATTGGTTAACCTTTTTATGTGCACATTTCACAGAAAACCAACTATCATTGTTCATAAGGTGATGCAGTTGATAAATATATATATGAACTTATTTCCCACTGGATATTGAACTATTTTGACATAGCTTAGTCCTATATCTCTACTTACTACATGAAATCAAATGATACCAGAGGACATGGGATGTGTTGAATAGGAAAATGATTTAATTTTTATTTACATAGTATATTGTATATGTGATGTTCTACTGTGATCAATATCTGGCCAGTTCCAAAAGACATAACAGATTTTATTTTCAGTTATACTGCTTGACTAGAGAGAAATTCTCTTTTGCTTGATGATGACAACTGGTTAATTATATTATTAGTAAGCCAGAGGTCCTGGTTTGAATCTTAGCAGAGGCATTGAAAGGAATAATGACATCTGTTAAATTGGAGTGGTCTCGACATATACTTCCTACTTACTTACTCACCTTACTATAACTCTGCTAAATAATAACAGTAATATATATTGTTCATATAGAGAAAACTATCATAGCTTGATTATTTGAGCATAAGACTAGAAAGCCAGAGGTAAGCAGTTCGAATCCTAGAAAATGCATTGAAGTAAATACACACATTTATACTCCAATCATTTTTACATTTCATGTTCACATTTCTTACATGTTATCCTTATTTTTCAGATGGTATTTTGGAAAGATAAAACGTGTTGAAGCAGAAAAAAAATTGCTTTCAATAGAAAATGAACATGGTGCTTTCTTGATAAGAGACAGTGAAAGTCGTAGAAATGATTATTCTTTATCAGGTTTGTATTGTCACTTAAGTGCATCAATTTAATAATATGAAGTGAATTTGAAAATCATGAATACCTAAAAGAGTGTTAATTTTGTTTTGATCCAAGTTCCTGATATGATATTATGCTGGGAAACTTTGATAAAACCTTGATTAAGAAAGTAGAAATTAATTCTGTGCACATAAGTTCATGCATATTTAGCAACCTATGAGTCTGCATACAAATTAATGCATTTTTACTATTTTTTAACAAACTATGTACATGAGTGTAACTTGTTAATTGATGTTTTCATTTTTATGTACGATTGTGTTTGTTGTTTTTTTTCAGTACGTGATGGAGACACTGTCAAGCACTATAGAATAAGACAATTGGATGAGGGTGGCTTCTTCATCGCAAGACGAGTTACATTTAGGACATTATCAGATCTTACAGATCACTATAGTTCAGACCCTGATGGATTGTGTGTCAATCTACGTAAACCATGTACTCAGGTTGGTCATGATATTTTATTTTGCTTACCTATAGTAATTAAGAGTATTTGTAATTTTTCCCATTCAGGTTCCAAAAGATTGGATCATGTGCATTCTTACTGTCAGTTTTTCATTCTTATTTGGTAGCCAGCAAGAATAATAGTCCTATTGTTCTAGGCTTCAGTAATGTGAATATTTTTATTTCACATTGTTGGCTAGGTTATACTTACTTAAACAATAAATTAACAGGTACATGTGGCTCCTTCTGTTATCACACTTGACTTCCTTCTTCTTGGGGATTTTTGTTTGTAAGAGATTAGCATAACATATGCATGGACAGTTATAACAGAACATTTGAAATGTAAAATATGTCTGGTTTACTATGTAGATATTTAAACTTTACTACAACAGTACAGAGAGTAAATACAAATCTTGGACCCGGGAAGCAGAATAGGTTTTTACATGCTTTTCAGCTACAGAACCTGCTCTTTTGTGTATGTAATTATGACATTATTGAACTGTCAATTTCCTCCTCATATCATTTTTTAATTGATTTTCATATATTAAAATTGTTAGATTTTAGTTGTAAATGATATCCTTCAAAAGACATAATTGTACAGTCCCATGATAAGCTAAGAATACTTAATTAGTGATACACAAGTGGGATGTATTTAAGTAGCTTGCTCCTGTGTATTATATTAGACTTCTGTAATGCAATTCCACTCAGGAAGTCGGCATTGCATGAAGTCCTCAGTGGTGTCGAGTGGTAACTTGACATACAACCCTGAAAGGTGTCATCTCCTACAAGGATCCACTTCCTGTCACCACCCTTGGTACACTATACACGTGTGGCCTTTGTATGCAATGGTATACTGCCTTGGATTAATTAGTCTTGGCCCTGTGGGTCAAGTTGTCCCTTGGTCATGATGTACAATATTTTCACTAATTCTCAAAATTTGACTCTTAATTTTTAATCTGCTCTTATTTCATTGAAAATCCTGTTTTTCTGTAAAAGTGGCACTAGCTAAATAGGATAAGGAATTAAAGAAGAGCTATGATGATTTGATGTATTTAAGAACAGTTTGTTTTAATGATTTAAGATTTTATGTCACTAATTAAATTATCACTCTGCAACATTGACTTTGAAAAGCCAAAACATATAATTGGTCATTATTTATGCATGGACATTCTTTTTAAATTAATCATTTGTTTTGTATGTCTAGAGTCATCAATAAGTTGTATATACATTTGAGCCTGGTTGTTAGGATTTGCAGCGGGGATCACTATCTACTATTAGTATAAATTCTCAGATTTTATGTATTTCTGAAGTGTAGTAAGGCACTAAAATTTTAAAGTTTAGTATTCTTTGGCTTAAGTGCACTTATTTTCTTTTAGCTTCAAAAGTCTGGGGAACTTGTGACTGACGAAGATTTCAATATAAAAACAATGCTGCTGCATGATATTAACAAATCATTCTACAAAAATGTTTGACAAAACAAAGCAGCTTCAGCTTTTGTAAAATGAACAAAGTAATAAATATTGGTGTGTATCCATAGCAACGCTAGTTTCTGTAGAGCTGTTGACAGGATTTAGTTGGATGACATGTAAATTGAGCTGAAGGCAGAACCCAGGCAGGCTAATCCATACTCCATTCATTTCTGTAGGCAGTAGACAGATCAGACAAAAACCAATATGAAAGCAATGCTACTAAATTTTTTTTTTGGTGGGGGGGGGGGGGGGGTGTTGTTGAAGTAGTTTTTCTCAATGTTTATAAGTTTAACACAACTCTTTTTTTTTATGCCCCCGCCATTTATGGCCGGGGGCATATAGCGTTGCCCCCGTCCGTCCGTCCCGTCCCGTCCCAAATCAGTATATACCACCTAACAACTTCATTCGGAAGGCAATTTTCATGAAACTTCATACAAATATCAAGTATGGAAAGACCTCATGACATGGGGGGGGGGGGGCATTCATGTCTTACAGACATTTTTGTAGTTTTTTCAAGTATTAGGCATGATATGTAATCAACTAAAATTAATCGCTTTTCCTGGATGGAATACAAGAGCGCATTTGGTAAAACCCATGGTTGGGCATGCGCAGGCGACACCATTCCATTTCAGATAGGAAATCAAACCCTGATTGTCTGTAGAGGAAAGGCAAGGTGTTGATTACCACTATGTATACCTGACCACATACCACTATATACCACACCTAACCACTTTGGTTTATAGGAGAATCTGCTTCTTAGAAAACAATGAAAAGACAGTTTGTATAAGAAGGGAATTGAAAGTGTACTTGTTATGAATATCTAATACTATTGCAAAACTTATCAAACAATTCTGTTTAATTGTCTTGCACTGCTTATAAGCCAACTTGTACATACATGAGATAATGATATACTGATACAGTTATATGTTGCTATTAATTACGATTAATTAATATGAGACTTAGTTTTTGACAGCTAATTCTTTTGGTGTAGCCAAGTTTAGTAACACATAGCCTAAATAATTCAGTGGGAAAATGTATTATCTTCATACAAATATTAGGAATTGTATTCTGTTGATCAGTTAAGTTGGTTGCAGTGTTCACATTCTTCATTTAATATCAATGTAAACCACAGGTATGTGTAGCTAGGTATTTTAACTGTTTCAGACACTGAAATTACTGCTTCATATTTATTGAAAACAAACACCCTCATATATGTAAGCCAGACTGATAGGTTTACACTAGTATTTGGCTATATACATATACATCTATGTGGAATGGGTTTCAGCAGCTGCTTCTATACATCCTTTGATTTCCATTGCTTATAAGTGTAGTAAACATATGGTGTTGCATTCATAAATACAGACCAATGTATAATTTGCAACTCATTAAAATTACGGTATATGTTGTTAAATTTTGATGGAATGAGACAAATATTAATTTTATACAACATGGATTTGATTTATCAATTACAGTATTTATAAATCACAATTAATGGATTTTGCTGCTCTGATAACTGAAAAATAACAGGTTGAAACCATGTTAAAATTTGAAACAAAGGGTGAATTCATATCAAAAATATTATCAAAATTCAAAGATATTTACAGTAGTGTATGAACAGCAGCTGTACCATGTTGGGCATCCGTTACACCCCATTAACCTTGTTCACTCTACTCTGTATATATACTGCTGGCTTAGATGTTTATATTCATCTTTCCCAATAAACATTCATAAAAAGGTACAGGAACCCAAATTGGTATGCCCAGATTTCTGTGTGATGAACTTTGAATATAAATGAATAATTCAGGTTGTGTGAAAGTGATGCATTTAATTTGCATTACACTTCCCCACTAATCAAATTTAAAGTTCTGAACAAATTATTTCCACAACAGACTGGTATGGATTTGTACTTATGAAACCCCCTCTCCCAGTCCCTAGCAGGAAGTTGTGAGGTGGGGGGGGGGGGGCTTGTCATTTTGAGATTCAAAGTTATTGGGTCAGCCCTGAATGGTATTTGAAAACTACATTACATAAACTTTTTGTTTTCTTTTATGCTTACACTGTGCTTTATTTTGTTTTTGATTTCTTTGTTGACTGTTGTTAACATTAACTGCATAAATATGGAGATCTTTTTCTTTTACATCAGAGAAGTGATTTTATCATGTGAATTAGGACTGTTTGTTATACGAAGGTAATGTCCTCACAACAGCCAGGGTCACATATAGCATGAGGATGTGAATTAGGACTGTTTGTTATACGAAGGTAATGTCCTCACAACAGCCAGGGTCACATATAGCATGAGGATGTGAATTAGGACTGTTTGTTATACGAAGGTAATGTCCTCACAACAGCCAGGGTCACATATAGCATGAGGATGTGAATTAGGACTGTTTGTTATACGAAGGTAATGTCCTCACAACAGCCAGGGTCACATATAGCATGAGGATGTGAATTAGGACTGTTTGTTATACGAAGGTAATGTCCTCACAACAGCCAGGGTCACATATAGCATGAGGATGTGAATTAGGACTGTTTGTTATACGAAGGTAATGTCCTCACAACAGCCAGGGTCACATATAGCATGAGGATGTGAATTAGGACTGTTTGTTATACGAAGGTAATGTCCTCACAACAGCCAGGGTCACATATAGCATGAGGATGTGAATTAGGACTGTTTGTTATACGAAGGTAATGTCCTCACAACAGCCAGGGTCACATATAGCATGAGGATGTGAATTAGGACTGTTTGTTATACGAAGGTAATGTCCTCACAACAGCCAGGGTCACATATAGCATGAGGATGTGAATTAGGACTGTTTGTTATACGAAGGTAATGTCCTCACAACAGCCAGGGTCACATATAGCATGAGGATGTGAATTAGGACTGTTTGTTATACGAAGGTAATGTCCTCACAACAGCCAGGGTCACATATAGCATGAGGATGTGAATTAGGACTGTTTGTTATACGAAGGTAATGTCCTCACAACAGCCAGGGTCACATATAGCATGAGGATGTGAATTAGGACTGTTTGTTATACGAAGGTAATGTCCTCACAACAGCCAGGGTCACATATAGCATGAGGATGTGAATTAGGACTGTTTGTTATACGAAGGTAATGTCCTCACAACAGCCAGGGTCACATATAGCATGAGGATGTGAATTAGGACTGTCATTGGTTTGTTTATTTTCAACCCATACCAATATTCAGTTTTCATTTTTCATTTTTCATTTTTCGTTCTTTGTGTCTGCATCTGACAAAAAGGGGTGGGGGAGTGGGCTGTATTGTTGCTATTTATTAATTGTATCAATAACAGTTTCTGCAGCGTACTGGGTATATATGTTTATTACATGTGCCCTTCATCAAATATGGACTAATATCATAGAGATGATGTGAAGTTTGTTGCAGTAGCCATAAACATGCATGTGAATGAAAAATTTATCTGAAGTTATTTTTGTCATTCATAAAACATATATAATACACTCCCTAACTTTGTCTGCTTGTTACAATATTCATTCTTATAAACACCAGCTTGA